TGAGAGGAAAAACTGAGGGGTTTCTGAGAGCAACCCACTTAATGAGATATATTATGGCTTGAATTTCACTGTGTGATCTCTCCAGAGAGAATTTGCCCTTAACATCCTGTGATGCACCCTACTGTTATCTTCTCTCAATGATGGTTTTGTTGTGGTGAACATAGTCTGTTTGAGACCACTCCCCAACCTGCTTAACCCCGTGTAACTATGTAAATTCCACAGCTTGCCTTAAGAACCTCCCCCTAGGGTATGTGATGTTGCCACAGGATGTTGGAATACCTCCTTTATTGACTATAATTATTCTGCATTTTTCTTCCTGATACCCTGTCTCTGTTGAACCTTTTCCTCACAGAAAAATATCCCATTACACCAAATTAGTATCCATTTTGACCAAAACTGACCAGGCAAACATGTCCATAAAAGACTTTCCCAACCTTCTGGTCACAAATCAGATGGATCGGAAGGACTTTGCTCAAGGAACCAAAAATCACCATAAAGACATCACCAGACAAAATAAGAAGACATTTGGAACCAAGAAGTACAAAGCACCCATCTTTTTAAGAAGCATAACCTCACCCTAATGAATATTCATGAACGTCCCTGGTCCCTGTGAAATCTGTTTCACATCCATAATCCTATACATTTACTTATTGGCATACTTGTCTAAAACTGTAAACCACACCCACATGTTTTCCAGGAATTTACCCAGGGAACGCTTCTGACACACTCTTGCCTTGATCCATGTAAAACAGACACCATTCACTTTCATGCACCCTCTGCCTGTTTCTCAGCAACACTCGTTCTGTTAACATGTTACACATTTCCTTTTGCTGTGTGTATTTCTTCCCAACATATTACAGAATCACTACGAGTCAGAATCAACTTCATGGCAGTGAATATGGTGTTGGGGTTATCACAAAGAAGGTGGTGGGGTCAGACTTTCTCTTTTTGGTTTCTGAGAAAACTGGAAACTTCTCTACTTTATTGCTGGGGCTTCTAATATACAGAACACCTGATCCATTTCCAGGCAAAATCTCAAAGCTAGAGAAAAACTTATCCTCATGGAGAGGGTTCTCTAGGATTCACAGAACTTGTCCGTTGTCATGAATTTCCTGTGAATATTCTTCTTTCGAGTGGTTACTTCTCTCTAGTGTCAAGGTTTTAAAAATGAGCTGTCATAATGACGTTTCCATTACTTGTCATCAGTGATTACTTTTCCCTTGCTGGCGGTCCAAGATTTGGGCCCAGGTGTGATGAATCCCTCACAGATCCTCTACCTAAGCTTAGCTGTGTCTCATTATTCCATAGTGCCAGAGCTGGAACTGCCCCAGCCCGCAGAAGAGGTTGGACTAATTGTTAGCATTATATTGTAGTGCAGAAAACCCCCTCCCACCCCTAAGGAACTGATGCTCAAGCTCCAGAAGAATATTCACAGGCAATTCTCCTGCATCTGAGCTCAACGACCAGAGGCCCAGCTGTCCATTACTGTGTGAGGGAAACAGGGAGAAGACTCAGTGCTCTCACAAACACAAATGGTCCTGCAGTAATGGCTTTGGTCTATAGGGATCATGTGGGTTGTGGAAAGCACAAGGGCAAGACTTCTGGGGAAAATGCAAAGGACCTTCCTGTCATCATCTAGGATTTTCATTCCCTTCAAATTATGTCCTCCAATTAACCCCTCTTCCTAAATGTTTATTACAAAACACCACGGATAACGAAATTTTCATTCATTTGTAG